TCACTCAGAAAACACTCTTAGCTCAAATTTTGTCCAAATTGTAGTTTTTATTTAGCCAGCTAACTACCCCTCAGCAAGAGGCTGTTCAAGGTGCAGTGCCCACCTCTGCGCACACAAGTTTTTTAAAGACAAAAACCACTTCCACCCTGTGCAGGGTTCTGCAACTGTGCAAAGTAATATCCTTTACAGAAGCTAAATTTAGCAATTATACAGACTGCTACAATGTTATAAGTGTCTGCAGTAACTGAGGATTTTCCCCTTTCCGGTAGAATTGCCATTTGTGGTTGGGCAGGGGTGTCAACAATCTTAATTGGGTTAACTACCCTCTCTAATCAAGATAGTTTCTTTTAAGATGGAGTTACTTAGGCTAAGTTCTTGAGTAACTTATAACTAGAATAACTTAACACTACTTATCCTACTTACCCTATAATTCTACCTCATCTTATTGATATCCTATAGTCTGTATGGTGCTTACTGACTAGGCTAGGCTATAACACACTGACCTTACTGTATATGACCTGGTTACTCAGTCTTCCTGTGACACTGTTATTACTTCTGCAATTATTAGAGGGGTAAGAAGGATAATTTATGTTCAAACTCCTACAGAGTGAGTACATATGATGGGCACATATTAAATGCTAACTTCCTTTTCCTGAAGTGGAAGACCAAAGCAGTAAATCAAAATTGGAAAGTGGCTCAAGGGAGAGCAAGGAAGATTATTGAAAACCACCAGCAAGAAGGTAGGAGAGAAAGACTCACTGCTAGTCAAAGGGAAGCTGGAAAACCACTAGTATTTCTTAAAGCTCCAAGATTCACTAAGTTCAGAAAATGCAATTCTTAAGGTTCTATTCTAATCTATGATTTCTCTGAGGCCAGTGAATATAAGCAACACATAATTCCAAGAAATGAAAGGCTAGACTTCACAGGTTTTTTTTTAATTTCCTCCAGAATGTAGAAAGAAACAGGTGGAATATTGTGGTGGATGTTGTCCCCTTCCTTTACATGGGTCCCTAGGACATGGTATATTGATTCAATTGCCCTTTATGCTACAAAAAATAAGTAGAAAATAGAAATTCCTGGAGGCAATGAGAGAAAAGAGAATAATATCGAATTGAGAAGAAAAAATAATAATAAATCAAAGACTCTGACAAATAATTACAAAACCTAAAAATGCAAATAAACAATTTCCTGTATTTTCTTCTTAACTATATTCCTTTTTAAATTGTCAACATTTTGCATAAATGCATGAGAGGTGATCTGCCTTATCCTATGGATAAGTGTAGAGAAGCTATGTATATCAACAAAAGTCAGGTAAGAGTAAAATAACCCTACAATCATGCCTGCTCTGCCCTTCTTAATTCAGTTTATTAAGAGGGATCACCTCTTATTGAATTAATGCCATGAAATAACAATTGCAGCAGATCTCATTTTGGATGACCTTTTGATTCCATTTTATAACCATAATTGACAATGAATTAAGCTGAACTTTTGAAGTCAAAGATTTTATGAAGTATCTGGGTTTTTTCAATATTATTACAAAAAAAATAAAAATAAAAAACAAAGCCATGAGAAAATGAAAATTAAAGGGAAGAAACTGTAATTCCACCTGTGATATGATTTGAGGAAGATCCCACCTGCCTTCCCTCAGGTGATAAGAATATGGACAGCACCAACAAAACTAACATTTTACTAGTTTCCTGAACTTTTTCTCTGGGGTGGTGACATTTTAGAAACATATATACAAGAAGTTCTTTAGAATGGGGATTAAAGGGCAAAATAGGAAAAAAGGCATGGAATTTATCTTACCATTTACTGGTTTAAAACTTCAGGCATTTGACCTCCTTGAGCCTTTATCTCTTCATAAGAAAGTAATAATCCTTGCTATGACTCCCCTCTAGTGTAATTAAGAAAACCAAAGAACATAATACACATAAGTCCCAAACTAATTTCCTTCAAGTCGCCCCTCCAAAGAGAGAGTGGCCTCCTGCAAAGTCCCGTGGAAATGAGAGCAGCTGTGAGCTATCACTCTCTTTGCCACTGGCTGATGGAAGATTCCCAGCATCGGTTAGTCATTTCCTATAATTTTCACCTGCAAAGCTCTAACCACAACCTTCAGTTACAGCAGAAGAAGCACTGATATATTCCCTCTCCCCAACACAAACTCTGAGACTGGAAATAGGATGAGAGTCAAGCTTCCTTCATCTTGATATTATGGGAGGCTTTCATCACATTAGAGGAGATAGTGCTTGCTCAGTCATGCTGCTGGAAAACCCAAAGCCTACGTATGAGGGTGTCCCTCTTGAAATGTCACATCCTACATTTCTGTGTGCCATTAGGATTATAATGAGTAAAAGGAACCCCCATGACTGTGGCTCATTCTGGGTCCACAAGTTGCCCCCAGAAAAAGCTGCTCCGACAAATCTGGTGTGTGTGCCATCTGGTCACAAGCCTTTGTGTACATGATAACACAGAAAAGGAAAACTGCTTAAATCACAGATTTTGTAGGTTAAATTTACATAAGCGTTTATTGGATTTTTTTGTTTGTTTATTGAATTATTTTGTCCTTCATAACTGATGTTATTACAAAAAGGTAAACAGATCTTTTTTGTTTATTTCATTATTATGGGCAGTAGTAGGTTTTTATTCATTTGATGTTTTAACATAAATTACAGCCATTATCCTTTTTGATACTGAAAATTTTCCAAAATTATCTATTGGAAGCCCCTTCAAGGGTCTGCCTATGTCCTTTTGACACGCTCTCTCTCAAGCATCTCTTTGCTTTCTGAGAAGCAGGAAAGGACAACATAGCCCCAGTTCACCTTCTGCTTTCCCAACCCCAGACCTGAAATCAATCCTTTCTTCAACAGGAAGGAGCCCTGGCTCCTTTTAGTGGGAATCTATTCTTTTCTTAATTTATTTGTGACTGAGCATTTTTTTCGAGTGTTTAAAATTTGGAATATTATTGCTTCTAATTTCTTTCAGTTTTTAGTGCTGGGAAATAAAGGGTGCGGATTGATATTTTCAGTGAAATTTAATGTTATCAAGTTTTTTCTTCCTTGATTTTATATTCATATTTTTTCTTTTATAACACAAATCTTGATTTCTGCTAATATTTTGTACTATCTACAAAAAAATCACTTCCAAAATCATACTACATATTTTTCTACTAAAAATAAAAATACCAAGCACAGTTTGGAGGGGAGATGAAAACGTGAATAGAATATTTGAGCTTATAAAATGAGGAAGAAGGGGAAAAGTAAAACAGGGATTATAAATCCATATTTCAAATTTCTTCTGAGTGAAACTTTCAACTAGATCAAGGTAAAATTCAGATAAACTTCCTTCTATTCCCCTGAATTAAAAATAAATATGCAGAAAGTATTTGTAACTATTGATCAATTGATTTTCAAGTTTCCTTAAACCTGAATAAAGCACTAAATTAAAGAACATCAGAGAGAAAAAAAATGAATCAAAACATGACTTCCACAAGGCTGCCTTTTCTGAAATGGTGTTTTTTGGTGTGAATCTATTGTGGTCACTTGAGGACAATCTGATGCTCACTTTCACAGGAAGGCCCATGAGAGGGCAACTGAGGAGGATCAGCCTTGAAAGGGATCACCTGGGAAATTGGGCAGATTGGAATCTAGGTGACTGTAATACAAAGCACATTTGTAGCCAGCAGGAAATAATTGTCACTTAAGACTACAATGGTAGCCCTGCTAGGGAATATAACCTGTAGGAAGAAAATGGGAGCTATGGTATATTTGGAAGACAAAAAACAATCTTAAGAGAGATAGTTAGCAGGTTGAATCTTTGGTGTGGTCTCAGGATCCAGGGGATTATCTTCTATTCCTGTATATATAAACACACACAAACACACACACACACACACACACACACACACACACACACACATTTAACCTGTCATGTGCCCAAAATTCCACATGCAAAAAAAAAATTCTTCTGCATTTAAAAATCAACTTTATTTACAAGATTAACCAAGGATAATAATATCCACCAAGCACAATAATTTCTGAATAGTTTATAATATTTTATGTTTCTGTGGCATTTTATAATCTATAAGATACTTTGTATATATTACTTTATACAAGTCTCATGTCAACCTTGCTACATATGCGTAATTATTCACATTTTACAGAGTTAGTAATGTAGTTTCAGACAGTAAGTGCTTTCGCCAGGAAGTACCATTTACAAAGCATCAGAGTCAGAATTCGAGCTCAAGTCTCCAATATCTCTAAAGTTCATGCTCTACCACACTGGTGGATCTCAAACCAGGCTGGAGCTGTACCTTTCAAAGGCTTCCCCAGGGATTCTTATAAGACTAAAGTCAGTAGCCAATGTACTACAACAACCTACAGATAGAGAATAGATACTGATCAGGGCCCAGACATGGTCACTTAACGTAGCTAAGGTGTAACTTGCTTAAAGTCATTCTATCCCTAGGTGGTTATTTTCATATCTGATTTTTTAACCCTCATGTCCTCTCCTCTGTGTTGCTTAGACAATACAATTGTTTTGTTCCATGAATCTGTCAATTCTAATTTTTAAAAAATGAATTATTTATGTCAAAGTAGACAACTCAGTTTAGCTTTGGCCAAACACTGATCTGTATCATTCAGACCAGTGTTCTCCAGAGCTTGGTATGCCAGGCAACTTTCTGAGGAATACAGAAAGGAGAAATTTGAGTTTCTATTTTTCTTGAAATTCCAAGAAAACTTTTTCAAAAAGTTTTACTAAGATTTATCATATTGGTAGACAGTGGTTTGTATACAGTTTGTAAGTGAATATAAAAATTTAGAAGAGGACATTCAACAACTCTCAACAAGCCTATTGTTGGGGTGTCCAATCAAAAAAACAAAGAGAAATCACTGGTCTAGACCCTCTGCCCCACGACCAGAAAAGTGTGCTTACTCCCCTGAGGGGAGGACTCAGAGGCATAACTCCCCCTGAATGTGTAATTTGTGCTATAATCCTCATAGGATGGAAAGAAATTGAGCTCCGAGGCCAGAAATTTCTCCTACATGGTGAGCGACTTCATCCTCTTGGGTTTCCCTTGCCACTGGGAAATACAGATCTTCCTTTTCTCCATATTCTTTATGACTTACATCCTGACTCTGCTCGGAAATATGGCCATCGTATGTGCAGTGCGCTGGGACCACCGTCTCCACACCCCCATGTACATTCTGCTGGCCAACTTCTCCTTCCTGGAGATATGCTATGTCAACTCTGACGTGCCCAACATGCTGGCCAACTTCCTCTCCAGGACCAAAGCCATCTCCTTCACCCGGTGCCTCCTCCAATTGTACTTCTTCTTCTCACTGGGCACAACCGAGTGCTTATTTCTCTCCATCATGGCCTATGACCGGTTCCTGGCCATCTGCCGCCCCCTGCACTACCCCACTATCATGACTACTAAGTTCTGTAATGGCCTGGTCGTCTTTTGCTGGGTCTATGGTTTCCTCTGGTTTCTGATCCCAGTGATACTCATCACCCAGCTGCCATTTTGTGGCCCAAATGTGATTGATGACTTTCTGTGTGACCTGGGTCCCCTGCTGACCCTGGCTTCAGCCTGTGTCCCCATCCCAGGGACAGTTCTCATATGTGGTACCATGAGCTCCCTCCTCATTTTTGCTACCTTTTTCTACATAATTGGCTCCTACACACTGGTGTTGAGGGCTGTGATACAGGTGCCCTCTGCTGCCGGCCGGAAGAAGGCCTTCTCCACCTGCTCCTCACACTTGGCTGTCGTGTGTCTATTCTATGGATCAGTCATGATGACATACGTGAGTCCAGGGTCAGGACAAGCAGAGGGTATGCAGAAGTTCACAACTTTGTTCTACTCAGTTTTGACCCCTTTTTTCAACCCCATGATCTATAGCCTTCGGAATAAAGAAATGAAAGATGCCTTGAAGAAAGTTCTAGGAGGTTCCCCAAATTGATCTGTGGTGTTGGTGAGTTGTTCTTAAATGAGTTCAGACTGTGAGCTCACTGTGAGTGATGAGCTGAGAAGCTGGCAGGTAGATGTGAAAGTGGATGGGAAGGGCTACATCCCCAGATGGAATTCTCTGCCTCTTCCATGGCATGCTCCCTGCTTCTATTTAACACGTCTTTCATTCTTCCTTTCATTATAATTGGCTGTTCACAAATCTATTTCCAAATGCCTCCCTATTTTTTTTTTAAATTGAAATTCCTTGAAAGCAGGAACTATCCTTTATCAATTTCTGTAATTTCAGAACTCAACCCAGTACATAGATGTCAATAATGTCAACCTAAACAAAACAAATACGTTTGTTCATATTTCCTAACTATATTCTTAATGGTCAGAACAAAAGCTACAGAAAATATACAAACTCTATTACAATACATATTTTATATGACCTACAGATGAAATGAAAGGAAAAAAAAACCCTTTCCTAGAAAACATGTGAGGTCAACTTAAACTGAACAAACCATGAAATGATAAATCAATGAAAAGTTTCACCAGATAAAAGTTAATGTCTAAGAAATTACTTCCTTCCTTCCCTTCATCAATACCTTTGCCTAATAATGTAAGTTGCTTTCTTTCATTTCCTTTTTACTAACAATTTTTCCACTCCAGCATGTTTTAAATTATATTATACAACCTTACTACTGAAAGTATGGTCTTTGGATTTTCAGGCAGGCTCACTAAGAAACTTTTTAGAAGGTGAGGTCTCAGAAACCATCCAGGCCTATTGAATCAGAATCTCCATCTTTATAACATCCTCAGTGGATTTATATGCACATTAAAGTTGGAAAAGCACTGATCTACGCCAGAGATTCTAAAAGGGTTGCAGTAATCACCATCACATGTAGGGCTTTCTATTGATGTCTACATTTATCTGAACAGGGATTTTTCAACCCAGTGACTCAGAATTGAAGGTGGGGCCTAGAAAAATGTATTTTGAAGAGTTAGCCCAGAAGTTAGAAACATAAAGAAGGGGTTAGGAACTATTGCATTCGAATTTAGAAGATTCTAAACAGTACAATAAAATGCAACAAAATTGTACTCAATCCGTTTCTTTCCAATAGCTGCCCTAGTGCAAATCAACCAATTTGAATAAATATTAAATTGTAATAAGATATATTATAATCCAACTCTAATAGCCATTGATTTGCCCCCCAAAAAACAGATGTCTCTTTTGAATGTTTTTTACATGCTTGCATTTGAGATACTATAAATGGTTAAAAGAAGTCAGCATATAATGAAAAAGAACAAAGCTGAGGGCATCACAAGACCTGATTTCAGGACAAACTCAGAGCCATAGCAACCGAATAAGGGTAGTGGCACAAAAACAGACACATTGATCAATGGAACAGATTAGAAATCTCATATATATATAACCAAATGATTCTCACTAAAGGTTTCAAAAATGTATATTGGAAAAGGACAGCTTCTTCAATAAATGGTGCTGGGAAAACTAAATGGTCATATGCAGAAGACTGAAATTTGACCCTCTCACTCTATACAAAAATTACGTCTAAATGGATCAAAGATTTAAATGCAAAACCTGAAACTATGAAGTTACTAGACAATAACAAAGGGGAAATGCTTCAGGACACTAGTATAGGCAATTATTTATTTTGATAGGACCCCAAAGCACAGGAAGCAAAAGCAAACAATGAGATATATCAAAATAAAAAGTTCTACACAACAACAATAACAACAAAAAAAAAATCAACCGAGTGGAAAGACAAGCTAAAGATTGGGAGACAGTATTTTCCAACTGTTAATCTGACAAAGGTTTAATATCCAGAATATATAAAGAATTTAAAAAGGCAACAACAAAAATATGATTCAATTTAAAAATGGGCAAATGATCTGAGGAGACACTTCTCAAAAAAAGAAATACAAATGGCAAAAAAATATGAAAACAATACTCAATATCATTAACTACCAGGAAAATGCAAAGTAAAACTACAATATCATCTCATCCTAGTTTAAATGGTTGTTATTCAAAGAACAATAACAAATGCTGACAAGAATGTGGAAAAAGGAATTCTCATACACTGTTGATGGGAATCTAAATCATTACATCTCATTATGGAGAATAGTCTGGAGGTTCCTCAAAAAATTGAAAATAGACCTAACATATGATCCAATTTTACATTTCTGGGTGTATGTTCAAAGGAAATAAAATCAGCATAACAAAGAGATATCTTCATGCTCGTATCTATTGTAGCACTGTACACAATAGCTAAGATGTGGCATCAACCTATATGCTCACCAAGGGATGAATGTAGAAATGTGGTACAGGGCAAGCAGGGTGGTGCATAATTGTAATCCCAGTGACTCAGGAGGCTGAGATAAGAGGATCACAAGTTTGAGGACATTCTGGACAACTTTGTGAGACCCTATCTCAAAATAAAAAATAAAAAGTGTTGGAGATTTTACTCAGTGGTAGAGCACCCCTGGGTTCAATCCCCAGTACCACAAAAGAAAAAAAAATATATGGTATATATGTCAGAATATTATTCAACCACAAAGCAGAATAAAATCCTGTCGTTTGAGGAAAAAAATGAGTAGAACTGAACTACATTGTATTAAGGCAAACAGAAATGCAAGTGCTGCATATTTTCTCTCATATATGGAATATTTTTTTAAAAAAATCAACCTGAATATATAACAGGTATATATTCCTAACCTCTATTCCTAGAGGTTAGGAATAGAGAGGAATGGTAAATAAAGGGAGACAAGATTTGATCAACTACATGTTATATACGTGTGTTGAAATATCACACTGAATCCCATTAGTATGTACAATTAATACATGTAAATAAAATAAATAAAGGAGGAAAGTATATGAGAAACTATGCAATCATTCACTTAGAATATTTCTATGAAGCCAGGTACAGTGGTGTATGCCTGTAATTTCATCTACTCAGGAAGCGAGGGTGGGAGGATTGCAAGTTTGAGGTCAGCCAAAGCCACTTAGCAAGGTCTCATCCCCAAAACTAATAATGATAAAATAATCAAAACAAACTATCCTATAAAAAATTTTTCTGACATTCTACTTGCCTTTGGAGTGACCCAGATTAGCAAAATTCCCTTCCTGCTCTTGGAGAGGTCACAATCCTGTGATGGAAATAAACTTCCTTAACCTTTTTTGTTCTGTTTTATAACAGTTTGACTGAAATATAATTTATATACCATGATGTTTACCTTTTCAAAGTGTACAATTCACTGTTTGGTTTTTGTTATTGTCATTTAACCACATAGTTGTACCACCATCACCACTAAAAAATAATGGCAAGTTCTGCATATTGACTTTGCCAGGATGTTAAAGGTGGCCAGATAGTGACACTTCTCCGAGTATGAGCTTTTTAAGGAACTCGAAATCCAGTATCCCCTGCAGTGGCTACTAGTCGCCTGCTTTACAAAGACATTAGTTGAGGCTACTTGGTTTTCAAAGGTAATGTGGAGCCAGAGAGAAGGAGATGGAAATAGTACTAGTTAAAAATACCAGAAAAATCTCTTCCTATGAAATTTCAATTATTTTATTGAATAAATGCTCCTGGAATTTTTGCAATCCTTTGGCTAATTTCCAGAATTCTGAAAAGATTTATCTTAACAATTTGTGCCCAATTTCTTCTGCTTTTATGGAGGCATAGATTTTCTGCCATTTTAAAGTGCCTTCCTAAAATGTTAACCTCTAACTTGAATGCTACAGGAGAATTGTGTACACAATGTTGTAGAAGCAGACATATCCAATTCTGCATGGAAGGGTGAGATATAGAAAGTAACACAGAGGAAACATCATTTGAGTTGAACATTGAAAGATAACTCAAAATTCTGCAGACATAAAATCTAGGAAATCAACCCATACAAATCATTAAAAATGAAGTTAAATCCATAATAATATTATCAGACCATTGTAGGGCACGTCACATCAGAGAAATAGAAACCTATGATGGAGAAAAGGAAACCTAACTTGCAGACTGATGCTCACTTCCTGGTCTTGGGACTGCACATGGCTAAGATGGCACCTGGCAATCAGCCAAAAGGCATTATCATGGGTTGTGACGAAAAAATGGACCACCTCTAGGATAGGCTCAGAATCCTTCTGCCCTCATGGACAGCTCGTGTCTCCCCTTAATGGATGTATACGTGAACTCTCCTCACCCTGCTGACCTTTATCCTGATTGGCTCCTGTGCCTTATATTAGCTGTGTGTGCTTCCTCAATAAATGAGCTCCAGCCTTGACTGGTCTCCCTGATGCATCTGATTGTCCTCTGGTGAGGGAGGGCTGGGTGCGAACGGTCAGTCGGCCCTCTCCTTTCTTGACTCGTCCTGGCAGGGGCGTGTTCTCCCTATCTCTCCTGCAAGTCGCGAGGGAATGAGGACTAAAAACCCGACAGACCATAGAGCAGTTGGAGTGCTCCAAGATAAAATAAAAATGACAAACAGAAGTGTACATTTACATTTAAATGTAAATGATGTAAACAAATGAGTATAAGACTGAGACTTTAAAGTTGGGGAGAAAAACAGAACCCAGCTATGTATTTATTGTCTACCTATATATAATTTATATAAAATAACAGAGAAACTAAAAGTAAAATAGTAGATATTTGCATATACCATGCAGACATTAATCAGGAGAATATGGAATTATTTGTCTAAATAATATCAGACAAAGTAAACTTCAGAATGGGAATAAAAAAGGATACAGCATGATTTAAAAGGGATCAATTCTCTGGGAAGTCATAAAAATTATAAATTTAACACATGCCTAACAACAAAGCTTCAAAATACCTGAAGTAAAGGATAATTAAACTAAAATGAATTCAAAGAGGTAATATTTTATGTAAATTAAAAATAAGATTTTTGAAAGGACAAATGTGATTTTGTTTACTGAATTTTTAAAATAGGCAAAGTAAAATCATTTGGGGTAGATGAATAAACATTATAAAGCATATAGGT